TACTGTACCAACACTGAGAGAACTGTCATGCTCATTTTTTAGGCATAGTACAGTAAAAGGCATTTAATGGTTTATAATGACTCTGTGTCAAAGGGCCTGTTGACTGAGACACACTGTATGTAAATCTGTAGGCCATCACTGACTTGATCAGCACAGCACAGACAACAAAGTGAATTAAGCCTCATCTAAATGTAAATTAGGTTTTATACCTTTGGCAAACAGCTTACATAACCAGTGTCTGTTTTAATAAACCAATTAGATTTTATTCTATGCTATACGAAGACGAGAAAATAAAAGCTGTGCTTTATGGAAATGTACATGGGATGCAGATAGCATCAGGAGTCGGGCAAATATCCTTCCTATAGGTATGCATCATTTTCACATGAAAACATGTGCTTGAAATACTGACTATTCAATCTAGTCTGAGGGAAGTAAAACAGACACAGACTGTCATAAAAGGCCCATTCAATTGCCTTGAGAAATGAACATGTGTGGCAGGAGCTTACATATTTGTCTCCAATTTCCTCTCCCTCACTCGTATCACAAATATCAGACTGAATATATGAAACTAGAAGCTCATTTTACATTCTTCACTTATGCAACCTGTCTTATAAAGTTTGAGCAGAGGTACAACATTTACTGTAAACACAATATGGCAGGTATTCTCAGGTTAGATGAACCTACACGTTTGCTGCTGTTCAACATCTTTAATACAATTAAAAAATGAGGGAACAAATTTTGCTCTTTCACAATTTAACTGCATGTACTTTCTCTACCACAACATTTACGTTTTTATCCAAGGATTGTTTTTTTAAAGTTAATTTGTGCAGTCTTATGTTTAGAAATAAGAACTTCTCCTAATGCAAGTTTCCACTTAATAAAAATACATTAAAAACAAAGTAACTTAGGGTAACTCTGGGTAATTAGTGTTAGTATTATTTATCTGATTAAGAGAGGGGCAAAGAGAACTCTTCCTCTGATATATTTATAGAAATTTACATTTGTATTTCTTACCCCATGTTTAATTTTGTCCTCAGGAAACTCAGAACAAGTTAAACAAACAAAAATAAATTAAGGAAATGCCAAAATTTCTGCTTTTTATTTTGTTAAATTTATTTATTATTATTAAAAATTTAGAATTAAGAAGTAATATTATCTTTAGTAAAGAGAGTGGTACTTTGTTTGCAGCACATTTATTTTTACTATGGTAAATGATGACAACAAACATATGAACAGCAAGAAGTGCTATTGTAGACAAATAGATTTGAGATGGAGTATAACTTGTAGAAAAGTAAGCACATGTAAAGAATTCTGTAAAAAACAAAATTACAAACTATGAAGCGGAACTTTAAAGCAACGCTGTTAAAACCAGGAGTGTTTAAATGAAACAGCAACAGGGCATTAATTTGAGAATATCTGGCAAATATCAATTTATTCCATATTCTAACTTTAGTAATGCATTTACTGGAAAGAGATTAATATCAATTCCATAAATCATTCAGGAGATAAATCCGGAGCCACAGACATGTATATGTTAGCTGATCCCTGTGAGGGAGCTCAGCACCCATTAATCAATGTCTGAGCTCCTCTGGCCATGTCATCTGGGGGAAAAAAAGGCAAATTTATAAAAAGGGCAATTACCACACTGATATTGCAGAAAAATCCTCCTAATATAACCCTCTGCTACTACACATTTGTACTTTCCTTCACATATTAGTCTGATAAGATTTATCTATCCCACTATATGTCTATAAAAGATTGTCTTTCCTCTTGTGAATAAGCCTAACCCAACTTAATTGTTAGTAATCCACTGACCTCCAGGTTGTTGAAAAAGTGCATCAGAGAATCAACGCTGGAGAACAACACTGACACTGACACCAAAGTCAGACAACTCAAAGTAAACAGGGAGAAGTTAAAGCTCATCTGAGTCTGCAGAAACCAAAATGGGCTTATCTGTGGAAATATGAAATCTGAGCACCATCTGAACCTAATCTCCACACAGCGATTCAGTCCCAAAGAGAGCCTGCTGGTTCCCTGATTTATTCTGCCTACTTGGTGCTTGAGTGTTTGCCTGCTTGTGGGTCTAACCAGCCGACCTTGTCGGTGCTGAAAACATGCAGTTCTTCATTTTCGTTTTAATGCCACTCCACTAGCAGAAAGCAAGGCCATTAACAAAGGACTCTGGAGCATATTTAACTTCATCTTACTTTATGCGTACAGCAGCCTCAATTCAATTATATAATTGATTTTTTTTTTCAATCAAACTATGAAAATTAATTGTGGAAAATAATCAACACTACAAGTGGCTATCTTTCTTCTGACCTGCACAAAATACCTAGCTGGATTTCCTCCGCAACAAATGCGACACTGCTGAGGGGAAGCAAACAGGCTGCTATCACAGTACCACCACAATACCACATAGCTGTACCATGTGTGAGTCAATGTCAGAAAAAACTACATGGCGTGCTCCTAAGTCCAGCTTCAGACTTCAGATACATCGCTGTTGACACAAGAAGAAAATGAAAATGATTTGAACCAATGAACCAATATCGGTTAAGCAACTAAAGGTAAACAGAGTTAAATTTAACATTTGTCTATTATGTTTTTATGATTTGTTGGGTTTTTGTTATACCAACTTTTTTACCTTCTTTTTATATTTGCAATTCACAGTAAATGATAACAGCAGGTACATTAGCATACGTTAGCTAACTAAGCAGTTGTAACTTGCGTCTAAAAAACAAGAATCTTAAAAAACGCCCAATTTAATGGCGTTTTGGCCCAACATGAGTCAATTAAGACCCAAAATAATCAACAATATTCCTGCGGTAATCATAGCAGAGAGTTCGTTAACTATCTCAGCTACAAAGAAAATAATATACTGATAAAAGCTTCCTGCAGCTCCCTGGTGGTTTGTTACTTTCCATTTCATGCTAGGGAAAAGATCATTGTTGTTCCACGTTTTTCACAGCAGAGCTCGAATAGGTTGTCAAATCCCTATTAAATACAACTTAACCTAATTAATTTGTTTAGTTTTGTGATGTGTTGGAATGTAAATCTTTTAAGAGAGATCTTTAAGTTGAAATGCCTTTATAAGTATGTCTGTCCAGGTATCGGTTTGCCCTCTTGTGGATGTAACGCAATATATAAATGGTTCGGTCCTGTGTGGGCAGAGGTTTGAACGAATAATCAAATTTGAACCAGAGCCAATGAGGTGTTCTGCAAAATGTGCATTGTAAAACATTTGTATTGTATCGTGTATATAGAGAATGAGTAAATGTTTGAACAACAGCACTATATTTTTTACAAGCCTACATACTATGTGCATATATATCCACATTTAAGCATGCGCTATACACGTTATCTAGAATGTAACAGCACAACGGCCTCTATTTTAAAATTCCTGGGCTAACTTCTATTTTTGCCTAGTAAATATTTTAAAATCTTTTATATAAAAGTGTAAGAATGAGGACTTGTCCCTATTAATGGTGCGGATGGTGTCTAGAGATCTGTTTTTACATTCTGTGCTCTCTGGTCATGCCTCTGTCAGCAATGACCAGATTGTTCAAATATGTGGGTTCAGTTTAGAAAATGAAATAAAAATGTAGCTAAATGCAATATAATGTGCATACATAGTAGTTGTGTATAAAAAGGGAAACACCAGCAACTTCTGGAAAAAAAAAAAAATTAAAAGTGGAGCATCTTTTGTGTCTAAAGCTCTGTGGTGTGTTTGACTGCTTAAACAAAGAGACTGCTGTGCTGAATATGCTGCTTTAATGCAGCCTCGGTAAAAACTAAAAATGTGACTGTCTCCCATAAAATTAACGTAACACTTACTACTGTTAACAACATGAGTCTGTAGTTATTATTGCATCTTTGAACTTCTTTAAGTCTTCCAAATTAGTGCTAGGGCAAGCAGAAATCACAGCTTCATCAGGAGATTGCAGTCAAACACGCAAATCAAATTGATTCTCAACTGCTAGATAAGGAAAAACAAGGCAGGGGGAAAAAACAGAGTGCAACAGGGTTGTTGCCCAGTTTACTGTGAAAAGATTTCAGGGATCAATAGTACCAGCATCTCATCCACTTTCACAACAACAACAACAAAAAATTTCTGAACTGTGAGGACCCTGTGTATGGATAAAAAGTTTTAGAAAACAATTTCAGACAAACGAAATGGAAGATAACAGACAGGATGATGTAGAGATCGCAGGTTTAGTTTATGCTCTCGCTGACACACACATGGAGACACTAAGGGAGCAAAGCCACATTGCAGACAATCTAGGTGATGTAACAAACACAAACTTTTTTTGTTAAAACTTGCAAGCTCAATTAAAAAGGTAGCAAATACTGTGTTCTGACCACAACCACGCTCCAGCCCAGGAACATAAATAACAGATGTCATAGGTTGTCACTTTGTCTATTGAGTTTTTTTTATTATTGTTTAAAAAATTTAGATTCAGCCATGGAAATACAAAGCCAGGGCAAATATACAAGATGCTAGCTAACAATGGACACAGGCATGTCAGATTTAAAATTGTTTTAAACTACAAATATTAAGATCACATAACAAAAGAATTGTACAAATGTTCAAACGGCATCTAGCTAAAGCTGACCCACTGATTGCTTTTGGGTAACTACAGTCAGTGTGCTAGGGCAGCAGTGACAACCAATAATATTTGGCTTCAACACAGGTCTTATGACAGTACGATATTATCTAACAATAGATTTTTTTCAAATGTCAGCATATATACCCACCCTTCACTGGGAACCTGGGTTGCATGGAGAAGAAGGGATTGTTGTGATTTGGTCACTGTGCTTGCAGGGTGTGGGTAGCTGTCAGTACAGCATCTGATCTAACAATTATCAATTATCTGACTTTTCTGCTAAACAAATCTGCTTAAAAAAGTGTCAGCCAGCATGTGAAAGTCTTGCTTTTCCATCTAAGTGTGCATCCTGTAATTATGTCTAAATGTTAAATATTGTGTTTTGCAGTTACTCACCACTTTCAAAGCATGCATCAAAAACCAGATGTCCTTTTCGTGGAGTTCCTGAGTATCCTGGTGGGCTCACCATCAGCTTGTTTACGTTGCCCACCAAGGCATCCTCTCCCCCAGCTTCACGGCCTAAAGAACAAGTGCAAAATGTAGAGTTTAACTTTACTCAAAGGAGTCTCCGACCACTGTGCGTAAACCCTTAGTTCCCAGCTGTATATGAAAATGTCATATAATATAATACAGTTGTTGTTATTAAAGTAAGGACAGGTATTTACTCCAATAGAAAAAAGAAATGGTTCCTTTTCTTATGTTGTTGTCATGTTGACTTTTGTTAGAATGAAAAAGGAGACACACACACCAAATCTATAAAAAATACAAGATATAAGGATAGGGATAACTAATTCACATAATGTTGTTGTTAAATGTGAAGCGGCACAACATCAACAGTATAAGAAGAAGTGTTGATTTTTATATATTTTATTGGTATTAGTAATTAGCACTAAGTGGTAATCAGGCTGTTCATTTCAACAGACAATTTCAACACATGGTTACTTTTCCTTGAACAAGTGAAGTACAACTGGACTTTTAATAAGTTAATACCGTAACTCATTTCCATTTCTTACGCCGTTGCTCGTTAATAAAATAGAAGTATATTTAGTTTAGATCTTTAAAATTAAAACAATCAATAAAGCTGCGTTTTGTACAAATATGCAAACAACAATAATCAGGAAGGTGGCAAAGAGTCTTTTTTTTCACAACTGTGGAGTCCAAAGATGGTAATTAATACAAAAAAAAAAACGTAAGTGAACTATGATAAACATGATAAAACCCCTGCCACAACAAATATTATTATTGGTTTAAATGTGCGTTTTCTTTGTTTAATCCCCCCCATTACAGTGGCGTGTACCATTTGTTAAGAACTGCTCATTTACGGTAGCTTTCATTTAGAAGGATAACAGACAAACACTGGTTTTAATCACCAAGAGAAAACTTCAGATACAACGGAAAGCTAATTAGCTCCACACCAGCTCACTGCAGTCTGAGTAACAAAGCTAGCTAACACAATTTAACAAACAGTCTGCTCGACTATGCAGCGGTTTACTTTGTCATGGCAGCAATTATCTAAACGCACATGCAGCTCATAATATGGTTGAATAAAGTCAACAGCAGCACAGCTAGCTCACGCTTGCTGGTGACAGGACTGTGTTTACATTTTTGCACCTGCTAGCTAGGAGGTTAACACGCTTAACGTTAGCGTCCATAAAAAGAGACGTAGCGAGCCAGTCACGCGCGCATATTATTGTGAGATAACGGGCTATCACGCGCTTCCCTCTGCTTGTATAGCAATGAACGGGTTGCCGTGTTAAAGCTCATATTTACACACCAGCGTCGACATCGCTAACAGTGTTCTCCTCCATCTTCCTCTCCATCTGCTACAAAGCAGCCGACGCTCTCTGTGAGTTACCACGGCAACGGAGCAAAAGGAAGCGGGAGAGGCGCTGCAAGCTTCATCAGGGAGCCGCTGCACAGAAGACACGCAAGAAATCGGTTCTCCCGGGCAATGAGTGAGTAATAAACCCGGTGTTTGATTATGTTTGTTTAGTGGTTACAAAAATCATTAAATATTGAAAGTAAGCTGTGATTTATCAAAGCATGGTTGGTTCAGGACAAACAACAAACTGCAACTCTGAAAAGGTCACTCACAGAATTTCAAGTTAGTAAGAAAGGAAGTGAAGTTTGTGACTTTTGTTCTTGAGAAGGACTGTATACGCAAAGTGTTTTACAATATAAACTAAAATACATGGATAAAACCAAACATGCACAGGTGGGTCCAAAGCTTCTTTTTAAAGTTATCAGCAGGGTCGACCGATCTTATATCCATTGGAACTTGGAAGCCACACAATGAAAAGCACAATCTCCAGCACCTGGATCTAGGTATAGCCAACAAGTATTAATCAGCTGACCTACTATATGAAGTTTGGATGAAGTAGTTCACTAATCTAGGGAGGCATCTGACCATGAGGAGCTCTGAAAGTGGTCGCTAATATTTTAAACTGAACTGTAAAGTTTAAGAGGAGCCAGAGGAGTGTAAATAAGACACAACTGGTGTCACCCAGAAGGTCAAAGTCCCTGGAAAACTTCGGGAGTAAGCCTTCCTTCTTATTACACGTGCATTTCAAACATATAATGAATTAACATCAAGGCTAAGAGTAATTAAATAAAATGGTGGAAAACCTTTATGGTTCAAGATTTGATATCTTGTAATTCTTCTTCTAACACACACACACACACACACACACACACACACACACACACACAAATATATATTCAAAAGAATAACTCAATAAATATTTTTTAAAAACCTAGTTCTGTGTTGGATTCTTGGCACTGGATAAGTTTGTCCTGCTTTTCAGGATGATGTACAGGCTATGACTGTAGTGAGTATTCTTTCTAAAGTGTCCGTTAAGCTGTACTTATTGTTTCCACTGATGCTTGCTAGCTGGAAGCCAATAGATGGTTCGAATTTGGCCGTTTTTATCACCCACTGCAAAGCCCTGTGGTGTTGCCCCATGCACAAGCCATACAAGTACACCAACAATGTACACTGGCGACATTTACATTCTACAGGAATCAGTAAACTAGACAAGACTCCCATTGCAAATTAAATAGTAATCTGTATACTGCACCCTCCTCAGTTTTATTGCAGTCATACCTGAAATAAACCTCATTTTGAAGGTATTTTCAGAGAAAAAGCCAATCAATGCAAGCAGCAGCCAGAGATTCTGAATTATCCTGCAGATTGATTAAAGCTGGAGATTTTCTAGACAATTGGAGCAGAGATGTCATCAAGGCCAATCAAGCCTGGCCCTATTCCTTTCCCATTACAAAGGCTGCACCTGATTAAGTACATCAAATGAGCAGCGGCACAACTCCTGGAGCAAGAGCATACAGGCTGCTGCAAATTTTCAGGTTATAAGCTGTGTGTAACAGGACTAAATGAATAAGACAAGAGAGAGGGCAATGGGGTTTTTTTTCCCCGTGTGCATGTGTGATCTGTATTTGATGTCGAGCATCAACAGGCCACTGAGTAGATAGGTCGGACTGATTATTTCTCAGATGACAGGAAGAGAATACCGGGCTCCTGTGTAATATTTTGTTAAAATTGAAAATTGAATAGCTGTCCGCCATGCCATGTCATTCCTTTAACACTATGCCAATTAAAGAGCTGTATGCTGGTGCGATCATTCATTTTCAAGAGAGAGATTGAAATTAAATTATGGAGCATGAGAAGAATGAATTAGACACGCTACATGTTCCCTTGTTTCTCAGCTCTTGTCAAATAGAGAGGCTGCATGGGAGTGTTTGGATGTTCCATAAGATCCTGGCTTGTCTTTTCTACAATCGAAGCACTATGGATACTCGGTGTAACTACATCTCATGGCTGAAACTCACAGCAGTTTGTGAAAGACAAAATTTTATTCCAAAAACTTATCTGACATTATAAAAGTACCTGTGAAATAATGGTATCCTGCAGTGAAAGTTAGGACAGGACATAAAACTTGTTTTATCATTTAAATGCCTATGCACATTAGCGATATTGCAGGAGAACGAAAAGGTGCATGAAATCTTTTTACGGCTTTCCTCTTCTTTTAAAGCTTTACATTCTACAATAGTGTGTCCTCTTAAAAAAATGCCTGAAGAAGTTGAAATCTTTCTTTCTCCCCAAGTTGCATTTGTGCGCTTTACTTCTACTTACTGGTGTCTGCTCAGTGGATCACCGAAACCAGAATAACAAAAGAGAGGTATATTCCACACATGTGGACTCTCAAATTTTAATTATCTCTCATGACAGTGTATTTTCACACGCCTATAAAAATATATTTGACCCCTCTGAGCATACGATCGTGCTTCACATGTAAACAGTCCTGTCATGGTTAGTGTGGCTTGGTAGTGACTGGATTACACACCTCATCTTTTAAATCAGTGGAAAAAATATACAAAAAATATATATTTTCATTCTTTCAGAAAGATAGTCTTTCTTCTGAATTGCAAACTGATCAAATGAGTCAGCGTTTGTAGCTTTGTGCCACAAAAAAACACTGACACAAAGAATTTCTGTGAGTTTTTTTTTTTTTTATCCCGGCATATGTGTATTCAAGGGGAGGAAATCTGTGTTTTTCTACATTTGTATTCCAGCAACTACAGGGAAATCCTTTTTACTCCAGCCAGCTGAGGACGTTCACACATATAGTCCATCATCGATGAAGAAACAAGTCATGCAAAAATAAAAAACACAGGGCACAAGAGGCTCAGAGTTGGAGATGGGCAGTTGTGTGAGGCCGGGTGCGGAGGGCTTAGTAGGGAAGTAGAGACCAGCCGGCAGTACATAGAGAATCACTATGGTGACAGCAATCAGGGGGCTCAGGGGAGTGAGGCTGGGTCAGAGAGGAAGGCTTGAGAGGCAGCTGACTGAGGAATCAGCTCTCACTCTGAATGATTCAACTGACAGCTCCCCCCAGGGCTGTGCCGGACCAGCCGTCCCCAGAGACCGCGGCTTTACGGAACAGGGATGTGGCTAGCAGTCCTTTTCTAAGAAAATAAAATAAAATAAGTGGAATTGGAGCCAAGACGGCGCAACAGTGCCATAACATAGTAATGCTGTTAATGACACCATCACTTAACTTGCTACAGCGAGCAATTTTCTTTGAAAGAAAAGGAAAATGTGCTAATTTAAAACATGTAAACAATATTACGTGCCGCATCCTTGATGTGAGTGTGAGTCTCTCTACATATATTTCCCTCCCCTGTTGACATAAACATCGGTTAAAAGTAGCAATTTGCTAACACACTGCTTTACACCTTACCATTACCCCTTCTATCATCCATTCATCATCACCCACTCCTCTCCCTTTATCTGACACTTTCTCTGTCTGTTCCTCCCTCTCTCCACTGTGCTGGACAGCATCCACCTAAACAGATGGTTCAGTGTCAATAGGCTGCTATTAACTGGCCGCTCTCCCTGCTCTGATCCAAGACAGCAAAAAGCACATTTAAAGCACTGGGAATAAATGCTGTGCCACACTGATGAAGCTAAGAATTGATTAGCGCAGACGACGACCAGCCGTCACCCTCATAAGCTACTTTTTCTTTCTGTTAGTTTCACAGAAATAAGCACAAATTGCATGTTTACCACATCAGATGCAGGTAGGGTATTTTTTTTATGTATTGTTGACTGAGTTCAAGGATCTAGTGACTCATATTCTTGGCTCACATCCCTTTAATATTTATTTATTTTGCTTTTCTCTTTCATAGTTCGGATCTCCTGCCATGTCTGTGACTAGCTGCTTCGTCATCTCTGTGCCACACCCTGCTGAGGAAAAGGACAACTGCCTGACCTTGAGGCTTGCATCTGCTCAACCCTCACTTTTTCCATCTCTGGTAGATATTAATAAGAGGTACCCTTAATTTCCACTCCCTTGTGGTTCCTCCTCAGAAGGTGCAGATTTGACTACATTCCATTACTTTATTTTTTAGCCACTTTGCTTCCTTCTTTCCGGAAAGCCTTGATAGCCCTTTTTCAAATGTAATCTACATCATAATTAGACCCAAACAATATGAGTTTTCGCACTTCCTAGAATATTAGTTAATGCCGGTTGACTGTTCGATCTGGCGAGGAAGCGAGAGCCAGTCTAAGTATAAATGTTCCTTTACAATCTGCATCTGTGTGTTATAGACACACCCAAAAAGAGGAGAGAAGAGGATAATATGAAAGGAAAGATAGGAGTGGCACGGAGAGGAAGGGATGTGGCGGCGATGGTGTCGCTGCTGCTGCTAGAACAGTCTTCCCACCTTGTGGTAGCACGGAGAACTGTAGCTGCCTCAGTGCATGAGCAATGGGGGATGAGAGAGAGATGGAGTGAGAGAGATAGAGCGAGAGCATAGGAGAGAGCCAGAGGGAGCGATACACAGAGAGAGCGAGAAAGAGAGAGAGAGAGAGGAAAAAAGGGAGGGGAGTTTAAACTAAGTGCAATGTTTTGGGACAGGCTAATCTGTTAGTGAGCAGTGTGAGGATCGGAGCGTATTGTGTGAGCCAGTGTGCGGGGGACAGATAAGGGAGCCAGCCAGCCCGCCAGCCCGACCCACCGACCCACCGACTGCCTGACTGCTTGTTTTAATGTGCTGACTCTGGGGAGATTTTAAAAGACAGCATATTGACTGCTTAGACGTGTGCGGAGACCCTGGGCACAAACGCCACCACTACAGCCACAACGAGCAGAAGTGCATCAGCAGACAGGGGAGAAAGAGACAAAAACTAGAGGACTGAAATATC